GAACCAGTCAGGTTTGAAAAAGACCTGGCAGTTCATAATAGAAAGGAAAGAAAAATCTTGGAATATATTTCAAAATCCAAAAGATAAAGGCTTATAACCAAGAATAATTTACCTGACAAAATTAAGTATAATTCCTACAGAGGAAAAAATTCAACTTTTAGTAGAATGGAAGAATTTCAAGTGTTCCTGATGAAAATATCTAAGCTGAAGAGAAACTCTGAAATGCCAACAGAGCAGTCAAGGAAAGCTGAGAAAGGTAAAGACATTTGAGCTATTGAAAGGGACTATTTAATGAGAAAATCTTTAAATTCCAACAGGGGGGAGAAGATCTATATGAATCCTACTACCTTACAGGATCACAGTTGGACTTATATAAATACAGAGAATGAATTTGATTTTGTTCAGTTTTGTTAGTTTTAAGAGATAAAAATAAAATGGTGGGAAAATAAATGCATAAAGAGATGAATAGGGAAAGGTGTGTGTGTGAGGTGTGGGGGATATATGCCCCATAATTGGAGAGCACATAATGAAAAATATAAAAACATGAAGGTAGTAATGGGGTAGCAGTCATCTCAGATAAGTTTTCACTTATCTGAAACACACAAAGAGAAGAATTTATTATTCTTCCTTCAGCAAAATTCATAAAGGTAGAAATAATGATCATGAGCTCAGACAAAGCAACAGTAAAAACAGACCTGATTAAAAGGAATAAGCAGGGAAACTACGGTTATGTTTTAAAGCAAAAATGGCATAACACCTAAGTACTTGAAGGAAAAGTTGATCTAATTACAGGAGGAAACAGATATCAAAACTATAATAGCTGGGGACCTAATTGATCCTTTGTAAGCTTAGACAAGACTAACAAAGAGACAAATTTAAAATAAGTTGAAAAACAATAGAATTTTAAAAAATTAGATATTATCATTGAAATAGATTTTAAAGAAAATGGAATATAAAAATGAAATTAGATTTACAAAATATAAAATACTCAGATTATAAAAATAGCAGATAGATCATTTAAATAACTTAATCTCAGAAAAATATATTGAACAAGCAATAAATTCCCAAAGAAAAAAATTCCAGTACCATATGAATATATAAGTAAATTATATCAAAGAACAATTAATACCAAGTTTAGATAATCATTTTGAAATTATGTAAATATGGCATCCTATCAAACTCTTTTTGTGAGCAAGATATGCTCCTGATTTGTAACTACACAAAGATGTCAGAGAAATAAAACTAAAGCCCAATATCTTGAATGAATGTTAATGTAAAAATATTGGGAAAAAATAACAAAGAGGTCACTGAAAAGATTATACACCATGACCAGGTTGTATTTATAGCAGCAAAACAAGGTTCATTCAGTGTTATGAAAACTACAGATATAGTAAACTAGATTAAAAAGTAAAGTGAGAAAATTTACAATTATGTCAATATGATATACCTTTTTGTTTTTAAAAAAATGTGAAAACAGAAGACTAAATGTACCTTTGTTCATATGATAAACAGTATCTACAGTCACAAACAGTATCATCTGTAATGGAGAAATGCTAGAGGTCTTTTCAGTAAGATCTAAGTTAAAGCAAAAATGTCCATTGTCAGCCTTCTTCTTTGATATAGTATGAGGAATGATGGCTATAATAATATGAAGAGGAAAGGAAATTGAGACTATATAAAATGATCACTTTTGCAAATGATATTATGGTTTACTTAAGTTATTAATTGTTTAAATTAATTATTTTTGATCTCTAGGGTTCTCACAACAAAGTAGTAGGATATAAAATAAATGTATGAAAATCATCAGCCCTTTTTGTACATTTCCAACAAAACCTTGGAGAAAAATTACTTCAGAACAAAATTGCTTCAGAATATATAAACAATCTGAGACAGAAAGGAGTTTTATGAATATAACTATAAAGCACAGTCTACAAAGATAAAGGAAGACCTAAATAATTGGGGAGAATTAATTGTTCACCGTTAGTCTGGGTTAATAAAAATGAAAATGCTACTGAAATCAATTTATAAATTCAGTTCCACGCCTATCAAACTACCAAATAAATAGAAATAGACAAAATTATTACAAATACACCTGGAGGGGAAAAAAAGGTCAATACACTCAAGATCAGATGTCAAGAGTTAAGACAAATTAAGAAGAACACTCAGAAAAGGGAGCTCAATTCTCACATGATCCACTTAGGTCTTACATGACCTACTTCAGCCAAGCCCTGAAATTTGCACCAGACTAAATAATGATCAAGAAATTCAATCTTAAATAATAATAAGTGACTCCTTCTTTCCCAGTACTGCCCAAAGACAGCCACTCTCATTCTCCCCCTCAACAAATCCAGTACCAGCACAGGATATCCTCCCAGGGGAACCAAAGACAGTCAGGGAAACGGGCAGCCTGCAAGGCTACAAAAGGCAGCAAGAACAGAACTCTCCTATGAGAAAGACCCTTGATGGTCAGAAAACCCCAGGGTTTTCTTGTAAATGCCAGGGAATGGTGACAGGCCATGACCAGCATGGTGCCAACCAGATCAGCTCAGTGTTGCAGAGCTCAGATTGGAATAGCCCTGGGACTATGAGATCACTAACCCTGTCCTGAGAAACCAAAGAAATAGCAAAGATCAAAACCTCAAAGATCCAGGGGGAGTGGACAGAATCTTGGGAGAAAAATGTAAACACAAGACTCCAGAAAACCTAATAAATATATGACAGAAAATCCTCATAAGTCAACAATGTTAAGAGAAATGCAAATTATAACTCTTAGATCCCACCTCACATCCATCAAATTAGAAAAAAAATAACAAAAATAGGAAATGATAATTATTAGAAGGAATATTAGAGATAGAGCATAACAACGCACTATGAGTAAGCTATTAAACTGGTCTAATCATTCTAGAAAAGAATTTGAAATTATGCCCCCAAATTTATTAATTCTCCATACTCTTGGATCCACAGATGTCCACTACCAATCCATCAATAAACATGTATTAAGTACCTACTCTGTGCCAAGCACTGTGCTAAGCACTGGGGATAAAAAAAAAGAGGCAAAAGATAGCATTTACTCTCAAAAGGCTTAAAATCTAATGGGGTAGACAGCGTGCAAACAAATAACATGTTATATACAAGTTATATACAGCATAAATATGACATAATTAAGAGAGGGAAGGCACTAGAATTAAAAAGGCTTGGTAAAGACTTGTTGTAAAAGATGAGATTTTATTCAAGATTAGAGGAACCTAGGAAAGTCAATAGGAGTTGAGGAGAGAGAGCATTTCAGGAGGATTATATCCCAAAAAGATCAAAAAAAGAGGAAAAGAACATACATGAAAAAAAAGAAAAGAAAAGAACATACATGTACAAAAATATGTATAGTAGAAAGTTTTGTTATAGTATTAGAGAACTGGAGCGCATCAATTATAGAATGGTTGAACAAAATATAGTATATGAAAGTAATATAACATTACTGTTCCCCAAAATATTATGAAAGTCATGGATTCAGAGACTCTCAGAAAAAAGTATGAACTGATACAGCAAAGTGAGCAGAATCAGAATTATTTACACAATTTATCCCCATAAGTGAAAGAACTTGAAAAGATTTAAGAACTTTGATTAATATAATTAATCATACCATCAGAACACTGATGATGGCACATGCTTCCCATTTCGTGGTGATCAGGTGACAGAAGATACATACGTTTCTAGTCACAAGTATTATAACACAATTTTTACTATGCTTTTGTTATGTGGCAGGTTTTTTCTGTTGTTATTGGGACATTGATGATATTAATGCAAAAATAAAAAAGGAATAGGAAAGAAAAACACAAAGGAAACATTTTTAAAAACACTGAAGAGAACCTAAGTTCAAAAAGGGACAGAGAAGCTAGATAGTATTGAAAATGTCTTGTTTAATTTAATATAGATAGTGTTGAAAACATCTTGTTTAATTTAATATATACTTTAAAAACTAAACTGTTCATAACTGAGTTTCAATTTTTCCTTTTTTCTGTTCATTATAAAAAGTATTTGTTTCTTAATGCTTGTCAAGATCTAATAAAAAGTATAAATAATAAAATTACATATACATGACATTATGAATATATGTATATGGCTTTAAAATACGGTTTTATTGGTCTTTTTTCACATCAGCATAGTTTTCCCTATCGTATCTTTCTCTCCCTCCCAAAGAGCAATCTCTATAACAAACAGCGTTTTTAAAGACAAAAAAAAAAAAAGAAAAGAGGAAAAAATCAGGATAATCAATCAGTACATAGGAAAAGTCAGAAAACATGTGTAATGTGCAACCTCCTATCTCCACAAAGAAGTGGATTGGAGGTATCCTCTCATGTCTCTTTATTTGAGTCTTGTTTGGTCTTTATAGCTTTGCTACATTTGTGTGTGTGTGTGTGTGTGTGTGTGTGTGTGTGTGTGTGTGTGTAGTTCTTTCCATTTACACAGATGTTGTCATTGTGTGTATTGTTTTCTTGGTTCTACTTCACTCTTCATCAGTTCATTTAAACCTTTCTGTGATTATCCGTATTCATCATATTCATCATTTCCTACAGTAATGTAAGATTACATTTCAATAATATTTCATTGTATTCATGTATCACAATTTTTTTAGCCCTTCCCCAACAGGTGGACATCTACTTCTTTTTCAATTCTTTTCTTTCACAAAAAGTTGTGCTACATATGAAGACCTTTTATTAATGGCTTCCTTGGAATATACGCCAAAGAATGGAGTCTCTGAGTCAAAGGATATGGAATTGAATACATATTTATATCTATATCTGTATCTATATATCTACATATCTATACAGATATACACATATATAAAATGATTATGATAATCATGTAATATATGTATACATTATATTTATAAATGGGAGGTTTGTGTGTTAAAACAAAACTGGACACAAGGGAAGACTCTCAAAATAGAACCTGGTATATATTAAAGTATACCTGTATTTTATTTTGCTTTTTCTTCTCCTCAGCTTTTCACTGAGTATGGAAGACTGGCCATGGAAGAAACATTTCTGAAGCCATTTCAGGTTAGTCTGTGTATAAAACAAGATTATTTCCTTGATACATTAAGTATATGAAAGAGAAGGGCCATGTGTAATCTACCTATGATTTGACTCATAAAATTACTATTTCTTAATTTTTCTTGTCTCTAGTTCCTTTTCACTTCTTACTATCCTTGATTTATTTTCCTGATCCTTTAGGTGGTGCAGTGGGGAGAGTGCACTGAACCCAGAGTCAAGATGTAGACATGAGTTCAAATCTGGACTTAGACACCTACCAGCTTTATGACCCTAAGCAAGTCATTTAACCTTGTTTGCCTCAGATTTGTCATATATAAAATGAGGATAATGAGAATACCTACCTTCCAAAATGAGGATCAAATGAGGTATTTGTAAAGCACTTTGCAAATCTTAAAGCTATATAAAAATACTAGCTATTATTACCATCATTATTATTTTATATGAGAAGCAACTAACAAATAGAAAACAAAACCAGGGAAAGAGATGACGGCCACTAGAAATCTTTGACATAGGTCGTAGTATGGAGAAATCTTTCTAAGTCCAAAGGTAACTTCTGACCTTAGCAGATGTGCTCTCCATAATGCACTCTGCCGTCTAAATTCAACCAACTATGATTAAAATCAAATAATCTGCCAATTAGTGAGAAATACCAATTATCAGAAAAGAAATTAAAATATTTCAAGAGACTCATTTATTGAGCAAATAGATTATCAATGAACAGAAAAGATGTGAACATCTGAGTCAAAACTTTGTCTCAAATAAATATAGAAACGTAGGACAAGTAGTAAAGCTGGATGGCAACTTTATATTTTAGCTACTTAGGCTAGATGATTTCTACAAAAGGGAAGAGAAAATTTAATATGCACCTACTATGTGCCAGGCACTTTGCTAAGAATTTTACAAATATCTCATTTGATCCTCACAGTCCTCATTATCTCCATTTTATAGTTGAGGAAACTGAGGCAGACATGGTAAATGACTTTAGAATAAATCTAAAAGCTAATTTTTTGAAAGAATAACAAATTGAAAAACAATCAACAAGTCTATCTAGATAAATGCTGTCTATTACTATCTCAGATGAGAGAAAGAAGTAGGAAGGTATGAAGCTTTAAGGGGAAGGATAAATAAAGAGTAATTACTGCCCTAATTATCCTTCAATTTAAAATCAGTTTCCTTTTGATTTTTTATTTGTACTTTTTCTAAATGATTTATTTTGGTTGACACACTTTTTTTTTCTGGAAATTTTGCTATTGACTGATGCTTGATCCTGTTTTCATTTTACCTTTTGCTTTTTTGCCATTAATGATATTTTTGCTTTTTAGCTTTACTATATTATACTCATATTCTGCTTAATTCTTTTCAATGGTATGAGCTCTCACTTTCCTTCATTTGATTGGTTATCCATTTAAACACATAGGTGGCATAGTGGATAGAGCACAGAGCCTTAAGTACCGAGTCAGGAAAGTCTGACTTTAAATCAGACACTTAAATCAGACCCTGGGCAAGCCATTTAACTTCTCATTGTCCCAAACAACTTTCTAAAAAATAAGTTACAGAGAAGACTCTGATCTGCATTAGTAGAGAAAGTTCCTCACTAGGAGTTCTCTGCACAGATGAAATCACAGGCTAGGTTAAAATAAAATTATTAAATATTAGGTACATCATTAATTATAACATACATTTCAGTTTCTGTAGCTTTTATAAACCCTAGGGGTCCTTATCCCCACTCCCACTTTTGCTGATGAATCATCTACCTGAGCAAGGATACATTTCCTCTTCAAGGTTCTAGGGATCCCTTTGAGGGTTTACAGTTGTCTTTATAATGTTAATTAGCCTGAATTCCCACTCTGGTGTGTTCTCTCCAATATCAAATGTCACCGAATAGTGTCCCAATATCATTTAACTAGTTAACACAAATTAGTTTTTACAAAGGGATATTTACTGAGGAAATATAGCAGGAACAGAGAGAAGTAAAAACTACATCCCACTGAACCTTATATCACCTCAATAACTGGGCTTAAACTTAAAGCAGTTGCTACAAAGGAAACAAAGCAATAAACCACCCAAAAGTCTCAACTAAACACCCTGCACCCCTTCCACTATGCCTTCTGGAATTCCTGCTCCATTGGCAAAAATATTCCTTCATCCTAAATCATTTCATCTTCTATTCTTTTCATTTTCAATCAATCTGAACTTCTACCAATAGAATCGATCTCCCCACTGATGACATAGCCTCCCTGGACAACCTTTCCAGTATTGGCTATATTTTCACTCATTACCCTTGGCTCACTGGTTAAGGCAAGGGAGTTGGAAGATTGCTGCTCTTTATTGCCATTCCAAGTTCTTTGCCTTTACCTTAATTACTCAGTAACTTTCCCTCCTTTGAGGTCCATGCTATTCATGTCTACCACACAATCAAAAGACTGTAGTTACTGTCCAGATCACTGCCCTTTCTTCCTCAATGAGTTTAGTACATGGGTCACAATTTTTCTCTCCTCTTCAACTCGTGGGAGTTCAAACTAGGGAACTTTAGCATACGTAGTTATTATCTCTCAATAGTAATTGCTCAGTTCTTCATTGCACTGGAAGAAGTAAGGAGGAGATTGAATGGGGTAAATTATCACACATAAAAGAGGCATGAAAGAGCTATTATAATGGTGGGGAAGATGTCAGGTTGGTGGGCAAAGCTTTAAGCTTACTCTCATCAAAATTGGCTCAAAGAAGGAATAACATCCATACTCAGTTGGATATAGAAATCTATTTTACCTTATGAGGAAGTAAAAAGAGATAGAGATAATAGAAAGGGAAGGGAGGACTGGTAAAAAAAAGAGGGTATATTGGGAAAGTCAGTAATCAGAAGCAAAATACTTGCGAGGAGGGCAAGAGTCGGGTAGTGAGAGAGAGGGGATAAACAAGCAAAAAATAACATGGAAGGAAATATACAGTTAGTTATCATAACTATAAGTGTGAATGGGATGAACTTAGCTATAAAACAGAAGTGGATAGCAGAATAAATTAAAAACCAGAATCCAAGAATATGTTGTTTACAAGAAATACATTTGAGGCAGAGAGATACACACAGGGTAAAGGTAAGAGGCTACAGCAGAATTTATTATGCTACAACTAAAGCAAAGAAAGCAAGGGTAGCAGTCATTAAAACAAAGCAAAAGCAAAAATAGATCTAATTAAAAGCAATAAAGAAGGAAAATATAGGGGGCAGCTACATGGCGCAGTGGATAGAGCACTGGCCCTGGAGTCAGGAGGACCTGAGTTCAAATCCAGCCTCAGACACATAACACTCACTAGCTGTGTGACCCTGGGCAAGTCACTTAACCCCATTGCCTAGCAGAAGAAGAAGAAGAAGAAGAAGAAGAAGGAGGAGGAGGAGGAGGAGGAGGAGGAGGAAAATACATTTTGATGAAAGGTGCTATAGACAATGAAGTCATATCAATACTAAACATATACACTCCAAATCACATAGCATCTAAATTTTTGAAGAAGTTGAGTGAGTTACAGGAGGAAATAGATAATAAAACTAAATTAGTGGAGGAACTCAGCTTTCCCCTCTTAGAACTAGATAAATCCAACCAAAAATTAAACAATAAGGAAGTTAAAGAGATGAATAAAATTAGAAAAGTTAGATATGATAGATCTCTGGGGGGGAAAAACTGAATGGGAATAGAAAGGCATATACCTTTTTCTCAGCAGTACATGTCACCTACATAAAAATTGACCATGTATTAGGACATAAAAACCTCACAACCAAATGCAGAAAATTAATTGGAAATTAAATAATACAATCCCAAAAAACAAGTAAATCAAAGAATAAATCATACAAGCAATCAACAATTTCATTAAAGAAAATGACAACACACCAAAATTTATGGGATGCAGCCTAAGGGATACTTAGGGGAAAATTTGTATCTCTAATTGCTTAGATCGATAAAATAGAGAAAAAGAAGATCAATGAACTGGGCATGTGAGTAAAAAGCTAGAAAAAGAGCAAATTAAAAATTCCCAATTAAACACCAAATTGGAAAATCAAAAGAGAGACTAATAAAATTGCAAGTAAGAAAATCATTGAACTAATCAATAAAACTAGAAGCTGGTTTTATGGGGAAAAAACAATAAAATAGATAAACCATTGGTTAATTTCATCAAAAAAAAGGAAAGAAGAAAACCAAATTACTAGTATCAAAAAATGAAATGGGTGAATTCATTACCAATGAAGAGGAAACTAAGACAATTGTTAGGAGCTGTTTTGCTCAATTACATGCCAATAAATTGGATGATCTAAATGAAATGGATGACTATCTACAAAAATATGTTACCCAGATTAACAGAAGAAATAAAATACTTAAATAACCCAATCTTAGAAAAAGAATTGAACAAGACATCAATGAACTTCCTAAGAAAAATTCTCCAGGACCACATGGATTCACAAGCAAATTCTACTGAACATTTAAAGAAGAATTAATCCCAATACTATATAAAATATTTGGGGAAAATAGGCAAAGAAGGAATTTTCTTTTATGGCATCAATATGGTGCTGATACCCAAACCAGGAAAAGCCAAAAGAGAGAAAGAAAAGTATACCAATTTCCTTAATGAATATTGATGCAAAAAATAATTTAAATAAAATACTAGCCAAGACATTACAGCAATATATCACAAGGATCATACACTATGACCAGATGGGATTTATGCCAGGAATGCAGGGCTGGTTCAATATTAGGAAAACTATCAGTATAATTGACCATATTAATAATAAAACAAGCAGAAATTATATGATCATCTCAATAGATGCAGAAAAAGCCTTTGTCAAAATACAGCACCCATTCCTATTAAAAACACTACAGAGCATAGGAATAAATAAATACTTATCTTAAAATGATAAGTAATATTTATATAAAACCATCAGCAAGCACAGGGATAAGCTAGAAGCCTTCTCAGTAAGATCAGGGATGAAGCAAGGATGCCCATTATCAGCTCCATCATTATTATTA